ACAAGCAGGCCTGGCCTAGGGAGGATTTTAAATCGGGTTCATTTTTTAGAAAATTTTAAACAGCACAACTTTAAAATATTTGGTCTTAATTGGTTTTATTGGGTGGGGACTGTAAATATGTTTCTGTTTTAAATATGTTGTGAGCCGCCCTGAGTCCCTGCTGGGAGAAGGGCGGGATATAAATCAAAAATAAAGTAAAAGTAAACTGTGATTTGCCCTTGCTTCTATTTACATTGCTCTTATTTGCTTTGCCTTTCAAGAATTCAAAATAAAAACCAATAGGCCTTAACTTTAAAGTTACACTTTAGGATTCATTAACATTTTTTAACCAGAGTAGGCTTCATAATTATTATCTGTCACACATTTTATACAGTATTTGATATTTGTCCATACAAAATTATCCAAAGATTGGTTCTTGAAAAATTATTAAGAGGTTCCCCCTTATTTGACATTTATTTCTATTTATCTAACTGGGTAGATGGGTAGATATTTCTCTCTTTCTCTCCACGTAAAGCATTCTTAACGCAAATGAGTTTAAGTGTAAAAATTGATCAGCCTAGTTAAATTTGGCTTAGTTCTGTTGATTTAACCATCTGGCTAAAGCTGCTATGACTAGCTGAGTATTATTAATGGAGATGTACTGATTGTAGCTCAGGTTATTATTTTAATTTGCAATTAGCATATATACTTCTTGTGTTTACAGATTTACTCATTGCTGTTGAATCGGTCCCTACAGTGGCATCCCCATTTATAACTTGGTTGTTGGTATTCTTGAAATAATTGATATAGCCAATGAGATTTGTGATGAATAAACTAGCAGAACCATCCATGCCATGGTTCATTTTCCTATTTTTTATTTTCAGAGTATGGGAATACATCAGCACTCTGGAACATGTCCATTTCAGTGATGGCGCTTCTCAGCCACCTGTAACTATCACCCAAGCCCAACAGGGGGCAGTGGCCCTTCAAAGTGAAGTTCAGGCTACAGACTCTCCCCAGGAACTGATTCTGGAGCAAGAGGCAGCCCTGAAGAACAATCCTGTCATCCAACGAGTATCCATTCAAGATCTTATCAAAGAAGGCAGTAAGGGAAGAGCTTTTGATTTTCGTGGAGGTAGCTTAATGACTGGGAGCAGTGCTGCCAAGGCTATTCTCACCCTCTCTAATCAAGCTGACAGGTATTAGCAACAACATATTGGATGAAGTTTTGGATTTATTTAATATCCAACAGTGGGGGAATGCTGCCATTTTCACAACCTGGGTCAGTTTAATAAATGCCCAGTATTAGTGTGTGTGTGTGTGTGTGTGTGTGTGTGTGTGTGTGTGTGTGTAGCCACTGTTTTAAGATATGTATAAGGGAATGTTGAAATTTATGCTCATGTGAGATGGGTAGCCATATAAATATGACAGATAGATAGAGCCACACAAATATGACAGATAGATAGATAGATAGATAGATAGACAGACAGACAGACAGACAGACAGACAGACAGACAGACAGACAGACAATTCTTAGGTCATTGTTCTTATTCAGTATCTTTCCATTGTGAAATTCCTATGCATGAACATAACGTAACAGATGCATGAAAAGCAAGGGAGTCCATAGCTTCTAGTCAACTACAGTAATCTACATATGCTTCCCCACCCACACCCACATTCCATTTTTGTAGCTCCGAGAGGCCAAGAAAATTGTTCTGTGAAATTCAGATGCAAACTGTCAAAAATAACAATGTAACATGTCATAAGAAACTATGAAGAGGAAGAGGAAGAGGTCTATAATTGCTTTCAAGTTAGCTACATAAAGAAATAAATGGACACTTCATATTGCTCTCTTTAATTTGCATTGCCAGGAAGAAATGTTGCAGCCAGTTAACCTATCCTGCTTCCTTGATTATTGTGGTTAAAAGTTGGCTTGCTTGAATCTAATTATGATATTGTCAGATAACATTGTAAACTGTTTCGAAAAAAGAAAGTGACAGGTTCAAGCTCTGCCTCCTGGCTGTGTAAGAAAAGAAAATAGGGGAAACACACAATGAGCTCATTGTGGCTCATTCTCAGCATGCTGCATACTAATTGAATGTGATGTGCTTCGTGATTTTTATGGCAAAAAGTTGCCAGTTTTCTCAAGTGTCTTTTCTATATAATGTGTTTAAACTACTTTCCAGAAATTATATTCTTTTGCTATATATATATATATTTATTGCCATACAATTCTACCATAAATCTACCATAAATCAGGATTTTCATATAGTTCTTTTCCATATTTGAATGTACTATTTCTGTGTTTAATATATTCTCAATTTTTTTCCCCTGTGTTTTGTGGGTTATCGAACTGATCAAAAGTTGAGTTACTTGAGGTCAACAAAATCAAATTAGTCCTTGCTGGTTATGTTAGGATTCAGAAATACCCCATTCCTTGTTGATTGAACTGTCATTCTTTTGCGTTTCTTACTGCTATGTCTGCATGCTAAACTCTTGCCCATAAAGGAGAGAAAAGGTGTAGTGACTCAGGTCTGTTTAGCTGCTTCTATGAAAAGGTGTAGTGAAGATTTGATAAGGAATGATATCTTCTGCCTCTTTCCATGAAGGCTTTTTGAAGATGCTGTTGACAAACTGAATCTGATGGCTTTGGGAGGTTTCCTGTACCAGCTAAAAAAGGCCTCCCAGTCCCAACTCTTCCAGTCAGTTACAGACACACTCGATTACTCTTTGGCCATGCCAGGTATGCTTCTGAAACAGATATCATAAACTTCTTTTTGATTCTAATTATGGATGCAAAGCTGATAACAATACATGTTCAGAGTGTTAATGCTGAAAGATCTGAACAGGCACTAGTTGTTGTAGGGATTCAGATTAAGTAGCTGGTCTTAGACTTCAAAGTTTTCATCAGTCTGGAACCCATATTTCTGAAGACTCAGCTGTCTTGATTATTAAGATCTTGCAAAAGAGGCTGCCTCTACTTGCTATGGCTCGGTTTTTATAGGGCAGTGACTTCTGTATCACCTCCCAAGCAGCAAGATGTTATTTCTTCAAAGCTGAGGTTAGTCCTCACGTTTGATTTTGAAAAGAGTTAGGTCAATATCTCTTTAACCTGCCTTGTTAAAACTACTAGTAGGAGGTTTTAGATGTTCAACAAACGCGTTATATTGTCATCCACCATTCATTCTTTCTAAGTAAGCAATGTATTTCACTGTTAATATTGGTTTAATTAGCTTTTTATCCGAATTTTGAAATTTCCTATAATCACATTGTCTTTTCTCAGAAAAGTTATCTTCAGTGACCCAAAGGTGCTTTTTCAAAAGGCCACTGGGCTTCCTTGTTTTTCTTTGAAAACGTTTCGCCTCTCATCCAAGAAGCTTCTTCAGCTCTGACTAAATGGTTGGAAAGGGAAGGATTTATATTCTTTGCAGACAGCTGGCCCTTTGCATTCTTTTAGAGAGTCGTTGAGGCCACTTGGAGGTTTGTCTGTGTCCTCAGGGTCATCTGAGTAGTTCAAATGGATGTAGTTCAAATGGGTGTGGAGCCTCGCCATCCAGTCAGAGCTGAAGAAGCTTCTTAGATGAGAAGAGAACCATCTTCAAAGAAAAACAAGAAAGTCCAGTTGCCTCTTGAAAAAGCACCTTTGGAACAGCCGTGACTTGGATGATTGAGAATATCCATAGACATTTATCTTCACTGAATATAAGAAACGGTGCAGGAAATGGATACTTGTGAGCAGGATTTTTCAATGGTACCTTCCCCCAACCCTTGCTTCCATTCTATAGCATTCTAGAATGCTCTAATGAGGCACTGACTTTATTGTCTTTTTGACACCTGAAAATATTTGTTTATTCCCTCAGGTATTTTAATCGATCAGTCTGCTAATTTTAAACATATATGGTGCTTAGTAACTTTTTAATTATTTTGCCCACTGCTTTTATTTTTTAGTGTGATATACTTTAGTTACTTGATTACTGTGTTGTATTGTATATTTTAGTAGTTTTTAGAGTTGCATTTTTTGTATTTTATTGTACTGGGGCAAACTTGATTTTAAAGGGATATTTTTAAGCTGTAAATATATAATGAATAACTGAACTAATAAAACAGGGAACAGGGAAGAAGTGGAATGTGTGTGCATTATTTTAATCTTTAATTCATATTACCAGATGTTCTACTCATTCTTAACTTGTAGGAGAAATAAAATCCACTCAAGAAAGAAGAAGTGCCCTTCACTTGTTCCGTCTAGGAGGAGCCATGCTCCGAATTGTGAGGAGTAGAAGCCGGCCTTTGCTCCATCTTACGCGCTGTTGGCATCTAGTGGCTCCTCACTTAGTGGAAGTGAGTGAAATTGGGGATAGGAAGAGGAAAGAGGGGGAAAAAACTGTAGAATTTATACTATTGCAATTGGCAGCCCAATATTTTTATTTTATTTTATTTAAAAGAATGAAAAACTGCCTCATTTCAGAGATTTTAAGATGGGAGTGCCCAACCTTGGCAACTTTTAAGACTTGTGGACTTCAACTTCCAAAATTTTCATGGCTGCCTGGGGAATTCTGGAAGTTGAAGTCCACAAATTTTAAAAGTTTCCAAAGCTGGACAACCCTATTCTAAGAAGTATATTAAATCAAAACACAATACTGTACAAGGAACAATATACTTACATAAAAAAAAAGAAACATTAATGGAGCTATTTTTTCTCGATCTGTTTTATAACCAGAGGCCTTCTGGAATAGCCCTATTTTAACTATTCTCTGTAAGGCCATAAGAGTAGGGCCATCTTGCTTTCACATTTAAGTTGTTCCAAAGGAAGGAAGGAAGCAGCCACTAAGAACATCTGTGTCCAAACTCTCTTCCATTTGGCTTCCTGATTAGAAGGAACTACCAGGTGCCTCGATTCACCCAGATCAGGTGGATGTCTAAGATACCCACCTCCCAAAAGATACAAGTAAAAGATACAGCATCCTAAATTGCACTTGGGAACCAACCAGCACCCAATACAACACCTATTACATCAGCATTATGTGATTGTGATACCGTGATTGTACAGTAAGCATATAAGCAAACATACTTTGCATTAGTTGAGGTTTTCAAATGACCTAGTCCCATGTAGAGCAAATTGTAGTATTCCAGATGTAGATTGGGGTAACTATCTTCAGAGCATCTAGTTAAGGGACATAAAAAGATCTGTGAAGGTAAAAGAAGTTATGCAAGAAAGATAATGCTCTAGGACAGGAGTGTGGAACTATGATCCCTTTATGATCTGTGGACTTCAACTCCCAGAATTCCCAAGCCAGCCATAAAGGGGCCATAGTTCCACACCCCTGCTCTAGGGGATATTTCTCTAACTTGGTGCCTTCCAGATATATTGGCCTACAGTTTCTGCATCCACAAAATGGAAGAGGATGCAGAGGGAATGGGGAAGTTAGAAGTTGGAAGACAACAGGGCCTGAGGAAACCATGTGAGATGATCTGTACTGCTGTCATTTTCCATATTCTTATATAATTGGCTTTTTGGTGTTTCTTTTAATTACTCTATTTTACTTGCCTATTTTTGTACATGATTATCAGTTCAGCTATAGTATCCCATATATTTGGTGCAATCACTTTTTCTAAACATAAATGCTTTTGTCCTCAAGTTGAACTTGATGTAAGGCAGTCAAATTATAAGTGGGGAATAAAAAAAGCCAAAACAAAAATAACCAAATCATTAAATGCTTTGGTTTATAGGCATGGCAGCCTTTCCCAAGCTTAGATTCCTATCAGAATGTCTATGTTTTCCTCAGTTTTCTTGATCAAAATATTTTCTGCCTGTTACTAACAAAAATATTATACATTTTGCTTCAAATTCTCTCCCTGCAGGCTGCCTGCCATAAAGAAACGCATGTTTCTCGGAAGGCTGTTTCTTTTATCCATGACATCCTAACAGAGGTTCTGACAGTCTGGAATGAACCGCCTCATTTTCACTTCAACGAGGCACTTTTCCGTCCCTTTGAGCGCATCATGCAGCTTGAACTTTGTGATGAGGACATTCAGGACCAGGCAAGCTAGATTTTTGGTTAAGTAAAGAGGATCTGTCCTCAGGTTTTTTAAGTTTTGATTATTATTATTTTTTAAATCATTATATGCTTAGTAGATGCAGTTTTGCATTTGTTTATATTATAGGTAGTCATGGACTGTTTGAAGTTACCACAGGCGTCCCCAAACTGCTTTTGAAATTATGATGGCCACACACAAGCTGTGTGGTCACATGATCACATTTTGGACTCTTGGCAACTGGCTCACCTTTATGGCCATTTGCAGTGTCTTGCAATCATGCAACCACAATTGTAACAGTTTTGCTAGTTTCCAGCGTTTACTTCCATTTGATTGGAGAAAATGAGTTGCATAACAATTAAGAGTTTGCTTAACAGGTTCAGCATTATGTTATAACATATTATCCTGAATAGCTGAAACAGAAAACACTGACCCGTTGTGTCAGGGTAGAGGTATCCCGACATAAAATTTTATTTTATTTTATTTATTAAACTTGTATCCCGCCCATTTTCCTGGAGGTAATGTTGGTTTACATTACCACAGGACAGATATTTTCAGTGCTATGATTAGAAACATATAGCTGATAAAGAAGTTGGTAGTAGCAATCTATATCCTGGTTTCTTTGATGTATAAACATGAGATCCGTGAAAATATGGTGCCATGTTTAAAACATTCCAGAACTAAAGGCTTTTGTTTTTCAGAAGCTCTGCAACTCATTTCTGATGTTCTTATTTCTCACACTTTTCCGTGTTGTTCTCTACACTACTGTAGTGTATGAATTCACATGGTAAATAACCACAACCCCGATTTCATTATATGTGCAAAAATTCACTGAAATTAGTGGACCTTGTCAGTCTGAACCACAGGTTATCTTTATTAGCAACTGCCACATATATGACCGTGGTGAGTTATGACAGTGATGAAAAATTACGTTGTGATCTATCCTCTTATTTATAACCTTCACAGATCTGTAAAGGCAGAGTTGAAGTTACAAGCACAGTCACAGTTTCACTTAGCAACTGCTTCACGTAATAACCAAGTTGGTGGTCCCAATTGTAGTCGCTAGACAAGGACTATCTGTAGCTTGTTTGCTTGGTCCCAGTGAGTCTTTTCTGAGCCTAGCTTAGTCTAAATCCAGCTTAGCATTTTCTTTTGGCTGGTTGTTTTCTTTGTAATGCTTTGGTGCTTCAATTATATCAGGTAGTCACCTCTATAGGAGAGCTGGTGGAAGTTTGCTCAACTCGAATTCAATCAGGCTGGAGACCATTATTCAGTGCTTTAGAAACCGTACGCAGCAGCAGCAGCAAGTCAGAAGTTAAAGAGTACCTTGTTGGAGAATATTTGATGGGTGAGGTTTCTCTCATTCTCTCTTCCCCTTCCCCTTGCTTTATGAATTAATTTCTAAAAAAACAATCAATTGCAAAATAGCCAACAATAATGACTAAACTGGTAAATTAAAGCCAACGTAAAAGTTTGTTGCAAAATGTTAAAAATAATCAAATATAGTTGTATTTCTATTTGGTAAATCAACCATTGATTTTTATCGCATTAGTTCTTAGCATATTTCAGGAAAAATCGAACGATTTAGGATAACCTGGTACTGATTTAAGAAATGTCACTATTTATTGCATTTGTGTTTGATTTTTGGAGCTACACATGAGAAGTTCATGTTTTGTTCATATAGACACATATATGTTTATTGAATCTCTCTTGGTTTAATTTGACACTGAACATGTCACCCTGTGCTGGAATCCCAAGTAGCCCTATCTTTGCATCAACTTCCTTGAGACTTACCTTTGAGATTTAATTTTAAAACACAATGGACGTATTTCAAAATAAGCCCACAAAATTTCACATTATGTGCTATGAAGCCATTCAGTGTCTAGAAAACACAACATTTTGTTATCATCTAACTATTTTCTTTGTCTCTTAGGAAAATGTCAGGCTCCAGTCTTTGATGTCTTCGAAGCTTTTCTAAATACCGATAACATCCAAGTCTTTGCAAATGCAGCCACCAGTTACATCATATGTCTTATGAAGTTTGTCAAAGGATTGGGTAAAACTTTTTTTTAAGAAAAATTGGACAAATTTTATGTCATATGAGGATCCGTGTTTGTTGAAATAGATAGCAAGCAGTGTGTACTGGAGGACAGCCAACATCAAGAACTACTTCTGAATGCAGTTAAAACTACAACAATTTGTGATTTTCTTTTAATGAATGAGGAAGTACCAGTTCTGTGATTTAGGGAAGAGGACCCATATGGAACTTTTATGATGTTCTGCAGCCATCCATCCCCACCCCCATAACTTTCCAAGAATGCAGGAGAACATTTTTGAATTGTTTTCTGGAGGCTATTGTGTTCCCATTTTATGCCTTCAATTAGCATTCGTTAACAACTGTGGAAGAGTTTAATGCAGCTTTTCTAGTGCTCTAAATTTGGTATTGGCCAGACTCTAAAACCCAGGAGTGCAGACAATTGGTACACTTACTCAATGGTGGGATTCAAATATGTGAACAACCAGTTCTCTGTGTAGATGCTGCTTTGGAAGTCCATTCTGGGCCTGGGCAACAAAAAATTAGCTGCCGGTTCTGCCGAAGTGGTGCGAACCAGCTGAATCCCACCACTGCACTTGCTGAAGATTAATAAGACAAAGTCAGCATATTTTCTTTTAAAGCCTTTTATTACATAAAGAAAAATATAATAGAAGGGCACACTCGGGCATTTCATGATTGGCTGCAATCAAAATGGAATATGTTCCTACATATTCCAAAATGGAATATGTTCCTACATGTTCCAACTCTGGGAACATGTGCTGGGCTGCATTAACAGAGGGATAGAATCAAGATCACGTGAAGTATTAATAGCACTTTACAATGCCTTGGTAAGGCCACACTTGGAATACTGCATCCAGTTTTGGTCACCACGATGTAAAAAAGATGCTGAGACTCTAGAAAGAGTACAGAGAAGAGCAACAAAGATGATTAGGGGACTGGAGGCTAAAACATATAAGGAACAGCTGCTGGAATTGGGTATGTCTAGTTTAATGAAGAGAAGGACGAGGGATGACATGATAGCAGTGTTCCAATATCTCAGGGGCTGCCACAAAGAAGAGGGAGTCAAGCTATTCTCCAAAGCGCCTGAGAGCAGGACAAGAAGCAATGGATGGAAACTAATCAAGGAGAGAAGCAACCTAGAACAAAGGAGAAACTTCCTGACAGTTAGAACAATTAACCAATGGAACAACCTGTCTCCAGAAGCGGTGAATGCTCCAACACTGGAAGTTTTTAAGAAGAGACCGGACAGCCATTTGTCCGAAATGGTGTAGGGTTTCCTGCCTGAGCAGGGGGTTGGACTCAATGACCTCCAAGGTCCCTTTATTATTATTATTATTATTATTATTATTATTATTATTATTATTATTATTATTATTATTATTATTATTATTATATAACAACACCAGGCAGGATCAGGAGATCTCAACTCCTCCCGGTCCATTTTGTCTCCTAGCTCTTCTATTCTTTGCTGCGAGATGGGTGGCAAACAAATAAACAAACAAATTCTTCCGTAGTAGCAGATGGTTCAGTGGAATTGAGGCACAGGAAAACAATTCTTGGAGTAAGGACAGCAGTTGAATCCTGAGAAAAAGCTAAAGATACATGGATCCTCTAGCATTGTATTTGATCCCTGAACCAAGACAATAATTTCTGCGTATGCTCACACACACTTTTTCTGTCTCTCCCTACCTGTTCATCCTTTGAAACCCTATTTTATTTTTGTGCCTGAGTAAACCTTTCTGGATTTGATTGACATACCGTTCATAACAGCAGTAATCTTTTAATCTATCATGTCTCACCTTTTTCTTGCTCTCCTCGCAGGGGAAGCAGACTGCAAGGATATTGGTGACTGTACATCAGGATACCTATCTACAGATTTGTGCCTTCCTGCTCTTGATTATCTCAGGAAGTGTTCCCAGGTGGGCAGAATGAAGCCATACAGCTTCAGTTGTCATTCCATCAAGGCACTTAAATTAGTTCCTAATCAGAGGCCCTTACACGCAGTGAGCTTTTCATGTGCATTAAAGACCTGGCTTAGTGGTGAGGGCTGCATATTTCAAATCTCAAGCGATACATTCCAGACTAAAACAGCGTTAGGATTTGTGGCTTCCCCTGTTGTTTTTATTATAATGCCACATTGTTCACCCCTAGATGTGTAAAGTGGGAGAGGAGTTCAACACTTAAATTCTATTTGTCACATTTACTGTTAAATTTCCAAGTAACAGGTGAAAGCGCATGGTCAGAAAAGGGTCAGTGAAATTAAAATCACAATGAAGATGGAAGAATATTGTTTCAAAGTTATGTAATGATCTACATTTCCATTCTCGTATTTAGCCTCATTCTTTTCTCTGCCACCTAATCATTGCTCAATTAGTTTTGACCAGCTAGACCAGGGGTAGGCAACCTTGGCTCTTTTATGACTCGTGAACTTCAAGCCACGTTGGCTCAGGAATTCTGGGAGTTGAAGTCCACGAGTCATAAAAGAGCCAAGCTTGCCTACCCCATGAGCTAGACCAGTGATGGCGAACCTTTTACAGACCAAGTGCCCAAACTGCAACCCAAAACCCACTTATGCATCATCGGGTGCCGGGTGGGTGTGCCCCTTGGGTTGGTGTGGCTCATTGGCTGGGTGTGGCTGCGGTGGTAAAGGCAGACTGGGTGGGACTAAAAAGTTCAATCAATCAATTCCAACTTTGCAAGATCTTTTTTTTTCCCCACGAGAAGTTGAAATTGACTGATTGATTGAACCTTTTTTTTTTTGCACACGGTGGCAGAGGCCTAAAGCGAAAAGGTTTTAGAAAACCCAGCTGAAGGCCTAGGACTGGGATGACGGCGTGCGTGCCCACAGAGAGGGCTCTGAGTGCCGCCTCTGGCACCCGTGCCATAGGTTCGCCACCACTGAGCTAGACTGTCAAAAATTTTAAAAAAACATTTTAGCAGAGTGTCTTTTTCAATGCGTAGCATAATGTCTGATATGCCAATGGAAATCCCAAACCAATCACACCATGTCCTTCCCTTTTTAGCTACTTGCCAAAATCTACAAAATGCCCTTGAAGCCTATTTTTCTCAGTGGAAAATTTGCTAACTTACCCCAAAGGATCCAGGAACAATCTGCGAGCAGCGAGGATGGCGTTGAATGTGTCCTTTCTGAGTTTGACGATAACACAGGTAAGCAAATGTGGCTTATCTAAAGAAGAATGGACTTCTAAAACATGGTTCCTTAGCTATGTCATATAAAGTTCAACAAATAGATTCAAAACGATTCATTGAATATATATATATATATATATATATATATATATATATATATATATATATATAAAACACCCAAGGATTCGAATAAGAACTTGACATTCTTTCCATTTGTCATGGAGATAATTTGCTAGAATGGAAAAGGTGCAGCCATAAAAGTTTTTTTTTAAAGAAAAGAAGAGAGATGTGGGCTTAAATTTTTCTCTGATATTAATTGCCCAGACAACTTCCTTGGGAGCCTAAAATGTTAACACAGAGCTAAGGAGTCCGTGTCATCTTCTGCACGTGCTTATAATCAGGTATTGTAGGTGCTTTAGATTTCCTATAGCCATGAGGAGTGAAATAAATGTCCTTCAGGGTTCTGTCTAATTATAATTCCCCTCATTTCCATCTGAAGCAGATTAGGCCTATGCAGTATGCAAAGCAAATCTGCTTGCATATATTTCTTCCCTGTTATATTGCAGCCTTTAATGTGAAAATGCAAGCTGGAGGCTAGCCACTGTGGGAAAAGAGAGCATCGCCAAATCTGATTTCTAGTCTGTTCCCAAATCCAAACTCTGGTCTGTTCCAAATAGGGAAATGCAATTCAGCTACTGTAAAAGGCCTGATATGCTGTAAAGCCTGCAGTTGCTATAACCTCTGGTTTAGAAACTGCCCTCTAGAATGCTGTCTAAGGAATTTCTATTAGAAACTCATTGTCTATTTGATTATTTGCCAATTTCTCAGTTTTTCTCCATTCCTCATTTCTGCATGACTGTAACAATATGATATGCATCTGAAAACAAACAGATCATTAATTTAAAGAGAACAAGCATTATTTCTGCAAGCATCATTATTTCATAAGATGCTATATTTGAATATGTACAATGTACATCACAATATAATGCCTTGATTTAGCAGAGAGCTGCACATATCTTTTTGGCTCTGTCCTCAGCTAGAGCCATTTCTAGACAATATCCTAGATTTGCTTTTTGTATATACCCTATTTTACAAGGGATCTGAATTTTTATTCTATTTTTATTCTATTTATTCTATATTTATTCTAACTCACCTTTCTACTTATACCAATAATCAGAGTGGCTTGCTGTCATCCCCCTTTTGTTACAGTCTTCTGTTTTCCTATCACTTGCATCATCTGGGGGTTTTTTCCCCTCACTGAAAATAAATATGTTAACAAAGGAAAGATGGTATGAAAAAGCAGCAGAGTTGTGCTAATTACTTTCTGAATAGAACTAGGCTAAGTGTATACCAGAGGTACAACTATGCTGTGTGTAGTTTTTCAAGCTGGTCAAGCAATTTGTCCTTTTCTTTTTACTAAGTGGATAATCTTACTTTGGAGGAAGGTTCGAACCAGGTTGTGTTCCTCACTGATTAGTGAGATTCTAGTTTTTAAAAGACTACCCCTTTGTGTTATATCAGAGTAGAAGAAAATAGGGGTGTGTGCATTGATTGTGGTGTATTGCATGAAAGCAGTGGATGATTTGGCAGTTAAATTTGGGCAAAAGGATAAGAGAGAGCCAATTTCAATAGGAGAAGCTCATATGGAGAATTTCTTTTCTGACAAGCTTGGCATCTGGCATTTGATTAGCCTTTGCTGGAAGCCAGGAAGACAGAATTGAGCAAGTCTTACATGCAGGCTGTAATAAAATAAAAACAGACATAATTGAAATAAAGAAGTATGAATCTGGAAAAAATACAGGAAGTTTGTCATATATTACCCATATCCTTTTACATAAGATTTTGTTTCCTTAGGCCTTATTAATGTCTGGATCATTCTGCTAGAAGAGCTAACAACTGCCATATCTAATTGTCCCCGACAACACCAGCCTCCTACTCTGGATTTGCTCTTTGAACTGCTAAGAGATGTTACCAAAACACCAGGTAATTAACCGAGTTTCAATACAAAAAAATTAAAAGCACATCAAATTTCCACCACAGGAGTCAAAATCTGCGAGTCGTAGCATCTCAAAGGAAGCCTTGCCCCCAAAGCAGTGTGGCTTATATTATGACAATACACCTCCATTTTGTAGATTTTGACATACACATATGTATACTCCACCAATGCCACTGATTTCCACATCTGCTTCCAGAGAGGGTTTGATGCCAATCACTTTATCTCAGACCAATCCATTTCAAAGGCTTTTTGTGGAAAATATAATTGCAGAACATTTTCCTGAGAGCATGCTGTGTTAATTAAGTCTAACTGCTGTGATACAAACAAAATGGAAGATCAGAAATTGAGAAGAAAAGCACACCCAAGGGCACCATTGTCTTGCCATTTCCATTTGTATTCCGTGTTTTATAATATTATTAAAACTAGTTCATGCTGGTATATTTATATTTTGCATGATAGTTGGTAATTTTAAATAGGAATATAAAAGCTGTTTATGGATCAAATGATATTGTACTTCCTTTGCCCCCCAAATTAAATCATTTTAAAGTTGAAGGGACAGGTTTAAAATAGAGGTAGGGAGTACCCAAGTCACTTTGCGATCCCTTGAAATTTCTATGAGTATACTGCAAAAGTCACTGGCAAACAAGTAATGCCAATATGAGTGTGTGTGTGTGTGTGTGTGTGTGTGTGTATTTTGTCAATTGGCTTAATTCATTAAATTAAAAATGAGCAAACCTTTTAAAATAGGGGGAAAGCAACTCCAAAATTCTGGTACTCGCCCTCCAAAGTTACTATTTTCTCACAGCTTGATGTCTTTCCTGGTCTATATAAGTTATTTAATTATAAGCAAGAGGGCGCAGTGGCTGAGCGGTTAAAGATGCTGAGCTTGTAAGCTGGAAAGCTGACAGCCCATGTTTGAGACCTGAGCGCTGTGCAACAGGGTGAGCTGGTGTTACTTGCCCCAGCTCCTGCCCAACAGTTTGAAAGCATGCAAATGCAAGTAGATAAATAGGTACCACTTTGGCGGGAAGGTAACAGCATTCCGTGCACCTCGGCATATAGTCATGTTGGCCACATGACCATCAAAATATCTTCAAACCATGCTGGCTCCCTCAACTAAGAAATGGAGATGAGTACCATCCCCTAGAGCAGTGTTTCTCAACCTTGACAATTTTAAGGCATGTGGACTTCAACTCCCAGAATTCCACAGCCAGCATTGCTGGCTGTGGAATTCTGGGAGTTGAAGTCCACATGCCTTAAAATTGTCAAGGTTGAGAAACACTGCCCTAGAGTCAAACGCAACCAGACAGGGAAAACCTTTTCTTTAGTATAATTATAGGCAACTCATAAAGGCGATACAGATTCATAAATAAAGCTATATAAAATCATTTGCAAGTCTGTTGTCAGTAAAATACTATTTCCAGACTGTATTTTCTTTAATGTGACTATATTCAGAAAAAATACATGTTTATCTCAGAGAAATAATATAGAAGTTGGCTGTCACATTAAGCTTAGAGACATTGTATGTGAATTTTATTTATTCACTACTTTAAAAGATTTATAAAGCATTTCCTTCCAGAGGATTTAGTTTAGATGATATACAAAAGTATGTCTGTCTTCCTGGTACAAAAAAGAAATGTAAAGAAGATGGCTAGTATTACTCAGCTAAGTATAGCTCCATCATCTCTTTCCTGTATGCTTTTAATTTGCTGGTCCTCAATAGGCAAGCTGTGGTTCTTGAGATGTTGTGGAGCGTAACTTTAGCAACTTTAGTATAACTTTAGCCGAAGAGTTGTGGTGGCCCAATGGTTAGAATGTAGTATTACAGGCTATTTCTGCTGACTGGTGACTGCCAGCAGTTCAGAGTTCGCATCTTACCTGCTCAAGGTTGACTCAGCCTTCCATCCTTCCGAGGTCAGTAAAATGAGGACCTAGATTGTTGGAGGCAATGTGCTGACTCTGTAAACCGCTTAGAGATGGATGTCAAGCACTATGAAGCAGTAGATAAGTCTGATATTGCTACTGGCATTGCTACCTTACCATGGTCCATCTTGGCTGAGACTGTTGGGAATTAAGAGTTCAACAATAGCTGGAAGACCATAGTTTCTCTCTCTCTAGCCTAGTCAGTCAAAAATTCCTCTTCTTCTCTGCTTTCTTGAGATATAGCACCAGAGTAAGATCATGAGTTAACCTAAGCTTATATTTGAAAGGGGAGGAGATTCTTTATCTTGCTCTTTTTCGTCTTTTAGGCCCAGGATTTGGTATTTATGCAGTTGTACACCTCCTGCTCCCTACAATGTCTCTTTGGCTTCATCGCAGCCACAGTGATCATTCTTACTGGGATGGGGCATCCGCTAATTTCAAGCATGCCATTGGCCTTTCCTGCGAATTAGTGGTGGAGCACATTCAAAGTTTCATACATTCAGGTGAGTAAAGCACATCTCACTTGTTAACCTTGTGCCGAATAAATATGACTGTTGTAGATTCATGCAACGTAATCAAAATCATGTGGATTAACCACTGAAATGAGAAAGAGGCCATGTTAAAGTAAAACTGGTTTAGTTTCTTCATGTATTTCATATTTATTGCTGCTTTCTATTTCAGCAGGTAAGGAGAAAATGGAATAATTCAGCTAAATTTCTTTGGTTTGTACTGACATTCCAAAAATGGAAATAGAAAGATATTCTATCAGACTTTTCAAAAAATAATTGAAACCTACTTATTTATACATACAACTCATGCATTTTATATGGCCATCCAGTTCACTGCAGACTGTGGTCTACTAACAATAATAAAACAAAAACAAGGGCAATTCAAAACAGCTAAAACAATTACAATAAATCAGTTACTATACTGTGTACCAGGGGTACCAAATAACTCTCTTTCAGTGACCTCTTCTAAAACTACCTGGCCATAGTGCTTGAGAAAAAATGTAGGTCTTTAATGTCTTATACAACAACAAGGTCAGAACCATCTGGATCTCCAGAGGCATCCTGCTCTATAGGGCAGGCACCATGATGGCAGAGAAGCACATCTGAGTCCTGCAAGATAACACTATTTCATAGACAGGAGCCTAGAGCATGTCCACATTATTGGATCTGGTGGGGCAAGCAGAAAAAAAATGAGAGAATGGTATCCCCAAAGTATCAAAACTATACACAGTCTCAACGTGATATCATCGGTCATATTATCAGTTACTGCATAGTAGCACTTAGATTCCAGACCTGCAAGCATCCCTAGATGCTTCTAGTTGGGATACTGGGTGGGTTGTTTTTTTTAATCACGATTAAACAAAACATTCTGCCAAAATAGCACATTTTTTGCTCAAAAACAAAATTTGGGATGGTTCTTATATATCATAATTTGG